CTGTCTGTCTTTGTTGGTTCATTGTTTGTCTGTGACTGTGTTCGCGGGGTAGTGTTCTGTTTGTCACCGTTCTGTTTGTCACCATGTAAAACCTTGAAATAAAGGTATTTTCAGTGTAATCTGCATTTGGGTCCTGCCTGCTTCGCTCACCCCTAACAGAAATACCGTTAGGCTCTTATGTCATTATTGTTTTACAGCAACAGTATACTGAATTTGTAGTGCTCTCAATTTTCTCCATATTTCATCAATCTTATATCAAAACATTTCAAGTATTTCCTCTTTCCGTGGATCTGCTGTGACCCAAGCTCTAGTCTTGTGTTGCAGTTTTTAAAATGCAACCGGTAGATTAAAAACAGGGACAACAAAGTATATAGTTGTATAATAATGAATTTTATCTCCTGTCTTGCTAGCAAAGTAGAGCCATACCGAATGTCATTGTATTGTTACATTTTAAGCTTTTATTGAGGTTTGTTAAAGGGGACCTATCATGCTATATTTGAATAATATATTGTAGGGCCATACCTATATATGTTATATTTATAAGTTTTTTTTTTCAAAATACCAAACAGATCATGCATTTTAGCCATGCCTCATTTTGCCTCACTCCAGCTCTGTCTTTGCATGAGCTGGAGCTGACCCCTGCAAAGGAGGGTGCGAGGCACAAGCGTCATGTTACTATGCTGTTGCCATGCTGTTGCTATGCTGTTGCCATGCCACGGCAACCTCTCATTCCCCTGATAGGTGGAGAGTTGACCATACAGGTGGAGTGCACCTCTGTGACATCATAGAGGTGCAAATCAGAATCCACATGTATCAAATCCATTGCAGCCCTGTTTTTAGAGATTTGGGTTTGGAGGAAAAGAGAGAGGGTTGTATTTTCTTGGTGAGTTCCCTGGAACACCGGGGACACATATTCATGTATAAAAGACGTAAAAAAGTGCATTTTGCATGATAGGTCCCCTTTAAAGAAGATTTGGATGTCTGTTGTCAGATTGTATGGTGTCTTCACCCTAACAAAACAGGCGTGAGGGCATACAGTTTTTTTTCCCACAGTGACATTTTGTCTTAGAAAGGCAAAACAGGAATTAACGCTAAATATTTCATTACATACGTAAAGATTGTGAATTGTTAGCACACGACCCGGCAACAATCCTACGGAGCCACCACTGGAATCTCAACAAATATTAAAATACGAATCATATTAGTGTCGCTAAATCTTTATCTGCGCAGAAATACCAGCTTTAAACACAATGAACAGACAAGCAAAAGGGAGAGGAAGTTGCACAGCATTCAAATGTTGATTTAGAGTTTGAATGTCAACACTGTTAGGGAAATAATTGTCCTAGACTCCTAGATATGACGTGCATGACCAACCCTGACATCTGTTATGTCCTTTAAGGAGATAGGCTGCTTCAGCCATAATGTTGTTGTTCCNAGGCTATCAATCCCTCTGTGAGGAAGTGAGGGAGGGGGGGGGGGGGCAACTCTGGTATCAAACGGCACTGCAACACCCTGTCACATCTGAGAGTGACGCAGCAATACATATCCTACGAGGAATATTTAAGGTGGCGATGTGGAGGGAGACTGAAAGTGACCAGGGAAGACAGACACTATACAATCAGTGGACAAAATATGTTAATTATATATTTTGGAAGGACTCATGGTAGAAGTTTGAGCATATTTGGAGTATAGAATAGTAGGTAGCATGTACAATACATACTGAGATGTATTAACATATAAAATCGACATATAGGATAACGCAAAAGAAGTGAAAGCCAAGACGTACGAAGGAGATGTTGATAAAAAGCAGTCCCGTCATGTTTTACCTAAATCCTGACGCTCTTTGGGAGTTCTGGTCAGCATCACCATGACTACTGACCTCTCTACATCATGCTCCTTTCCCCTTTTCACTGTAAACACCCTTCACTTTTATAATCCATCAAGCACACATCTATCAGCAAAGTGTTGCATCCGCTGGATGACCTCCACTCTATACACAAACTCAGAGTCTGAAACCTTCATAAAGAATGACAGGAGGGATCAAGACATACATGACCCAAATGTAACCCCTAATTTTAGTTCACTCCTCTTAAGTGCCTTGGATGCTTGAAATGACATGTATGGTTTGGGTGAAGTATTGTTTTTTATACAGAAAGTACTTCACCAGAGAGCCCTCACTGTCAGGGGAATATCTCCAAAATATCTCAGTCCCACTTCTCAGTAATCTTAGAAAAAAGCCTTATTTTTAGCTTTCTTGTAAGGGATGTCAAACAAGTTTTTGAGCAATTAAGGTTTAAAGGATTGTCTCCAGTATAAGTACAGATATTTTGCAGTAGTTTTGGTCAGGTATAAATGCTTAGTTATAACAAAATAAAAACAAAATGCAGATGATTTCGCACCATTGTTTTTGACAAGTAGTCAATTTTATCATTAATATAACCTGTGTGTGAATCTGTGACATTATACCTAATTTCGCTCAACTTTAGTAATAAGTTAGAATTTTGAGGTAATTTTCACTTAACTTCATGCTACTATTTGCTGCAGATAAAACCTTACTACATTATAGAAATATATACATTTTTAATCCACTACATTTATTTTCCAGCAATAGTTACTAGTTTGCTTTCCAATTAGGTTTTCTAAATAAAAAAACAAATGATCAGTTTCTTTACTTTGATGCACCGTTACATAAGGCACAACCCAAGAAGATTATGTTGCAATCAGCTTCACCTCCGGCAGAACACTTAGATGCTGCTGACATGTTATGCATCAGTAATGATTTATTAATAATGCATTTTTAAATGCTGAAACCTTGCTTGAAACGGAAAATGTTTACATTGTGCTGCGCATACTTTCTATGACTTCAGAAATCAAAGATGATTTCCTCTAGTGCTGCATCTACAGATTCCTAGTGTTTTCATATTAAATCTGCAGGATTGGAGGACACAATTATTAAGACAATTTTTTACAAAGGTTGGCCTACCTGCAAACTGTGAGTGTCATTGGTATGTCATGCTATTGGTTTATCCTCATACTGCAGTTTTATTATACAGCGTGGTATATTGTAAGATTATGGATTATGCAGAGGATCAAAGGTTGTGGATTACAGAGGATGTAGATTCATTAGCATTGGAAGACTCGTATCTCATATGGAAATCTCATATGATAACAGGCGGCAGGGATTTGTCTGTGTGGCTCTTCCAAAGAGTTGCGATAAGGACAGTCTCCGGAGAGCGAGCTTCTTTTTACTGAGGCTGCAGTCAAATTCTGGGCAGCCTGTGAACCAGTATGCAGCTCCTCTGTTTGTGTGTTGGCCGCTCACACCAAACTATCTCACAGCATATGCTGCTCTCACACGCTTTAATTAACTTCATAAACACATTTTAAAATACTAAATATGCATTTGCGAATGATGATGGCAGTCTGACTTCCTTGTGTAAAAAAAAAGTAAAAGAAAAGCTGGATTATGAGCAACTGCAAAGGAGAAGACAAATAGAGCAAGCAAGTGAAAAGTTATGTGTGTAAATGAGCGATGGAGCTCGACTTTCGCTCTCTCTTCGTACCAATGATAGTGTTATAATAGCTCCATTAAAATAGCCCTGGTTCCTTTACCTCCTCCTCTATATTTAACTGTCCGCCGTCCCGTGGGAGCGGGGAGGTATATGCTATCATATTACACTACGCTACATTACACACATTCATTATGTGCTGAGTAGACACCCCTGGCTCCCAGGAGCACCCATAAGTGGCCATATTATTCTAAATCGCCGGTTTCACACCACAGGAGTGAGGATGGAGGAGTTGAGGGGAGGAAATGTGGAAGGTGAAGGGAGGTAGCGATGGAGGGAGGGGAGTGGCTGACTATGGGAAAACAGGTTTGGGACTTTGGTTTTGAGGTGAGGAAGGGACATTCAGCGGTGCAATGTGCAACCTTAAAACCACACAGCCCCTCACAGAGAAACCTAACCATGTTGTTTTGGTTTTGCTAGAACGTTATTTCAATTCCTGACGCCTCCCAACTGGTTAACTGAAGGGATATGTGAATGATGCGTTTGTTTTCCTTTTGTTCTCCATTTGTGAGACTGTGACACACGATGGTACAAGCCAGGAAAAAACGCACTCCTTATTCATTGACTAATCATTTGCCAGCACCTCAGCGATGGACTGTGTAGAAACACAACAAACATCTTCCTCACACTGCCCTCTCCCTGCTGGCCCTGCATGTGCATGTGTGGGCTTCCTCCTCATTACAGCCACACTAATTACAGTCTCATTAATGTAATTAATATTCACTGATCCAGCTCCCACTAGTCACAACATCAAAACACAGCAGCGCAGACTGATTAACACACATACACATGTACACATTGTCCACAGAGGAATACACGCAGGAGCTTAATATAGAGAGATCACATGGAAAATACAAAGTCAGACCCACAAACAGGACAGGGCCCCAAAACTAGAAGCAGAATCAAAGGCATACATAAAAAGACAAATGCTCTAAACCTCTAAATTCTCTGATCACCGTGATTGACTTTAAAGTTAGAGTAGAACAATGATGTACTAATAGGCACAAGGAGAGGTCACCACATATTATGTTTTAATGTTGAAGTTAGTTACTTTATCAAAAGTATTCACATGCTTTAGAGTTGGAAACTGGACATGTTAATAGGATTCTCCAGTTTAAGGCATTCAAAAACGTCAATTTGAGTGCTATTAAAAGGAATTCTGACTCTATTTACAGTCTAATGACTACAGTTTGAGGTTTTAGTCATTGCTTTAGAAAAAACAGATGTTGTTTGTGAGTAAACATCCCATGTGTGTCGTTTTTCGCAGTATTCTTTTCAAAAAGCCTCCATTAGCTGAAACTTTATCCAAAGATTAGCAATAAAATCTTTAAATGAAAATCAATCAAATGTGATTAACAAAGTGTTGACATGATTACAGCAGAACACACACAGACATAGACTCAAGCACACACACCCACACTGAAGACCTACCGCATGGCTCTCAGTGCAATTTTGTACGACAGTTCAGCGTCGTGAGGTAGGAGCGAGGTAAAGAGATAGCGGGCGAAGGTGTGCATGGGAACACTCTCTCTGTGGACGATCTCTCCGAGGCCAGAGTACGGGCCAGCTGTGCAAAAAACAAAGAAAGCACACACACATTTTTAATGACTGAAGGAAAGAGGTGGAATAAATACACTCATAAAACAATTATCTGTCTCATCAGGTCAATAAATGTTATGGTTCGGTGTTGAAATTCATGGTATCTACAGTATAAACAGACAACAAAAAGCAAGTGAATTTTCATTTAGTTGTATATTGACTTTTTCTATAACACGCTGGGGGGCGACTTTTCCCTCCCAGCCAGGAAGAAGCAAAGCCACGCGGCATTAAAACAAACTGTGACGTGAGAAACCATATGGTCGTGTGTGTTCAGATTTTGCTTTCCCTTCCCTCCCCCTATCTCTTCGTGCACTTCCTCTCGTCTCTGGTGGGTTATTTTAAACCCCAACAGGCTCCTAAGCCACAGACCACATCACAGAGCGACTGCAGCCTCCAGGGGCCCGCAGAGGCCTCACAGCCTGGTGCTCTATTAGCAACGGAGCCAGAGGTGGGTGGTCGCGCCGGGGCCGAGGCAGAGCTGGGGTTTGGGTGGGGACAGGAGACTGGGCCGGGCCCTTCAGGATGTGCCACCCCCCCTCCCCCTCATCCTCCCCCTTCTCCTTCTCCTCCTCCTCCTCCTCCTCCTCCTCTCTTTCCCATAACCAAACCTCATTCTGTTCTAGCCCCAGCCTTGTAAATGTACACACTGTTGTGAGTGCACGCATGTGTGTGCTAACACAATACCCCTGGTGTTACTGTGCAAAGAACTCATTTTGGTCTGGCCCAGGGCAGCTCAGCCTCTATTTGCACCACAAAATGAAAGGATAATAAATAGTGAGACAGAGGCCAATGTGTTTTTTCCTGTTTTAGCAAGAATGTGTAGGGTCTTGGTGTGTGGGAGGGAGAGAAAGGAAAGAGAGGAGGTTTCTCTATGCAGTATATGTCTGAGAGTGTTGAGTCTGCTGGGACATGTGGTGAAATAAAGGGACAATAATGGCGAAATATTATCCGTTAGCTCCCTCACCCTCTAGCAGAAAGACGGACTGTTTACGGAAGATTTTGACCAGGGAGTCGTCCACTTCCACTTCCTGCAGCTTGGCCAATAGCTGCTCTTCGTTGCGACACACCTTCTCTTGAGCGTACAGACCGTCGGGCATCACCCGTTGCTGGCCTAAGCCAATCAGAGCCGTCTCCACTGCCAGCGCCACGTACGATTCCCCGTCTCCGAGTAATCGCTGCACGGGCATTCGCTGGAGCTCTGCTCGACTTACAACACTGGAGCAGTCTGCAAAGAGGGGAGAGAAAACTGAATTGGCATAAAGCGGTAGTCAACGTATGTGTAATTCTCTGAGGTTTTGGGCAATAGAGGAGTCTGTCTCCTATGGAAAACCACTGTGTCAGTCACACAGTGAGGTCTGAAACCAACAACCATCCAAAATAAAGATCAACGCCTCAGGAGCATTCCTCTGTTCACTTCTGTACCTCAGAGGACAGAGAGCTATTTCTGGGAGCAGAGGAGGCAATGAGGGATCTCGGAGCGTAGGAGAGGAGAATTGAAAAAACACAAGAGGAGACGAGATAAGATAAGACCGAGGGACTGGAGGTGAATCTGCACTCAAACTATTCTTTCTAACTTCAAAAAATATGAAAGTCCTGAAAATAAAAGTCTTATTATGCAGCTAATTAGCTATAGTACAAATCATTTATATTGGCATTCCATATTTAAAATGAATAATATACTAAATGTTGAAAAATAATTAAATTTAAAAAAGCATAGAAGGGCCGTTGTATAACTCAGTAGGTTGAGCTGATGGTCCATGTACTGGGGCTTTGGTCCCCAAGCGAAGGACCCTGGTTCAAATCAAGCCTGAGACCATGTGCTGTGTGTTACACCCTCTGTCTCCCCCTTTCATAGCTGTCACTTGAGTAAAGGCAGTGGTTGCCCAAGAAAATAAAAATAAAACATATGTACAGTAAATAGTATGACTATGATCTTTTTGGATCTTTTTGTGTGTGGCTGGCTCAGATGTGAGTAGAGTGTGTGGGTCTATTTGCTTCGTTCAGGCATTCAGCAGTACCTGACAGGTCTAAGCAGGTGTTGGAGCCCTCCTCCCCCCCTCGTCCCGGCTCTGTCAGGGTGCTGAAGAGGGTCCCGATGGGATCCAGGGGGTGTCCCACCCAGCCCTCCATGTTGGTTATGGAAGTATGGCCTTTATGCAGCAACTCTAAATAAAAAAAAAACACAACAGATAAAGACACATTAAGCGACAAACTGACGCTGTTAACACAATGTCAACACCATCAACTCCTTTATTAATCAAGGGCCTTCACAACTCAGAACAGCGGGGAGCATATCTCTATAAAATGACCTACAATAGGAAAGTGAACAGTTCTTAATTAAAATGCAATGATAACAATAATGATTAAAAATGAAATTTAAGAAAGACTTTTGAAGCAAAACTGTTATTAAAAACAGCCACACAACATTTTTCTCTTTGGTATTGCAATTAAGTCATCCAGCTTGGAAAAATTACGACTTAAGAAAAAGCTTCTCAGTATGATGAATGTATCTTTCTCTCTTTTATTCACCCTTGCTATTAGAGGGTTGTTATGTATGGAATGGAATGAGGACAATGGGTATAATAAATGATAATTATTTGCTTTCTAATTTGTGTTCTGACAATAAAAGATGTGACAATAGAACCTAGCTTCACCTTTCTTGTGTCTGCGGAAGTGCTCAAGTTGCCTCTGCTGTTGCCGCCGTAACGTGTTCACCACGGCGATGGCCAACCGAAGGGCTTCTCTGGGGTAACCATGCGATCGCAGGGCGTCCACCCTGGCACAGGCCGTCGGGACGTGTTCTGAGGGAAACACCACATTTTAACTCAGATATTCTACACTTTAGCTACTGCACATTCCCAGTCCATTGTTTTGTGTATTAATAACACATGACACACACACCTACATGCACCCAGACTCACCATGCCACAAGGGCCAGCCCCGTGTATCAAAAAGGGAGCCGTCCTGGTTGTCATGGTAACAGTAGTTGGCATAGAGGTCACTGGCGATAATGTGCTGGAGGTGTCGGTCCTGCCAGTGTAGGTCACAGGCCTCAATGGCCCGTGTGAACACAGTCCTGTGGGGGCGCATCTCTGCAGAAGAAGAAGAGGGACAGAAGTGAGGAGGAGGTGTGAGGAGATTTATGCTGCCTCCTCTTTAGGGAATGGCAGGAACACTCACACGCCTGGTCATTTGGTTGCTTTTCTTTTCCTATATGCCCACACATTTTAACATTTATCAATATCATAATTTATTAGGGAATTAGCATCATTTTTATAAACAAACAGAACAGTCACCCACAAAAATGGCAGCCTGTCCTTGCTTCTGATCTCTAAATTACATCTCCAATAGGATGACAGTTTGTTGATAAGGATTAGTGATACAAAATAAAACCCCGAAAAGTTTTGATGCTTGGGATAACAGTAGTGCTCCGTGTGTGTGAGAGAGATGTTTACAAATTCTTTATGCATTGACAACCCCTCCCACTGAGATACGTTTTTGCAATGTAAATAGTTTACTGACAGACATTCAAAACTTCTCAATCTCTGACCTTGGTTGCCATGGGCACCCTGAGGCAATGAGTGGGTGAGGTTGGGCAGTTCATTGCCGTGGTTACCATCCTCCCAGGGGCAGACGTCCACGCTGTTCCATCTGCGCAGCTGGCGCAGCCACGATGACTTCTGCTCCGATTTGCAATGGGGGTTCAGTACGATGCACATCCACAGGGCACCTGGACACCCACACAAGCATAAGCATCATACACAAAAACACACACGCACATTGTAAGTCAGCTGCCCTACTTCTATATGTGTGACCACAACGTCCGCAATGAGTCATACAATACAGGTAGGTTTGTCTTTTAGGTTTCAAAAATCCTAAATACAATAATCATGCAAGAACTGAGAGCTGGAGGCAGTTTTCGAAGATGTGGAGCATTCATAACATTCTTCATTTAGTGCACATTTTGTATGCTGGCGCCATCTTGCACTGGAAAACAGAACTCTGTGAAAACAGAGAACTTAACTAGTCCCGAGGCAACGCTGACTGCACACACATCATTTTGGAGTAAATTGGAACAAACAGAATATGAAAAGTGGCTTTGTCTCTGGGGATACAAGCACATTCAGGGATTTTACTCTCAATACTGCAGGAGATATGTACACTCTACAGTGTGTGCGCGATTGTGTTGCATGTGTGTATAAAAGCAGAGAGAGTTTCGGAGGAAGGACGAAGACAAGGACAGAGTTAGAACATGAAGAAAGAAACAGAATACAAAAGGTGCGGAACAGAGGGAGGGTAGAAAAAAAAGGAGATCGAAAATGAAATAGGAGCGGAGATGATTTGGACAAGGAGACATGGGTGAGGACAAGTGAATGAGGCTTGGCTTTGTGTCTGGAGGAGAGCTGTAGCTGCTGCTCAGAGTAGAAAGACACAAGAGGGGGAGAGAGGGAGAGGGAGAGAGAGAGAGAGAGAGAGAGGGAGAGTGAGAGAGAGAGAGAGAAAGGGAGGGAGAGCGGCGCCGAGAGGCAGCATTCACCACACATCAGGGGGAGTGATAAGGACTTTGGGAAGAAGGGTTTGAAGTGTGACTCAAAGAGCCGACACACAACTTCAAAAATACATTGGGATTGAAACGAGTTGAGATCAACTGTGCGTGTCCTTACAAAGTGCAGACACAAGGACCAAGGGGAGAAAACTAACATATCATCAGCAACAACAGCCGCAGTTG